TTTAATCGGTCATCCTTCATTGTCGATCTGAGAAATGTCTTAACTAATTTCAATTTACTGAATGTCCTTTCATTCGATGCTACAGTCACTGGAGAAGTTAAAGCCAAACGACATAATAAATTAGCACATGGTAAAATATGTTTGACTTCTTCAGACTTTTCCATTAAACATTTAAAATTGTTTGATTCATTTGGTAACATGTTAAATAATATCTCTAATTGAGCCTGGACTAAATCTAGATCTTTTAGATTGGAATCTATAYTATCTGGTGGAAATAAAGAGAGTGAATTTGTGATGTTTTCAAGAGTAATATTTGATTTGTCTAAAGGTTGTGAAAATAATTTGAACAATGGCTGAATAGAAGAAATACATTGTTTTAAGTTGCTATTTGATAATGTGATCAGTGTATCAAGAACTAACTTAAATTCTCTTCGATAAAATAAATGTATTGTAAATTCAACCTCAGTTGATGGTCTTGAGTCAATTCGTTTAGGACATAATCTTCTACGATGATGTGTTTTAAAATAGCTCTCTGGGTTTGTTCCAAGTAAATTTGCAAAAGATAAAGCGCTGTCAATTAAATTATTTATAGCGTGTTCATCAGTGTTTATCTCAGTCATAATTTTCATAGTGGAATCAATTAAAGCTATAGCATCAATTATACATAAATGTTTAGTTTCAAGAGTTTCAGTAAGACATTTTAATTTGTACATAATATTCTTCATAAAAATTATAGAAACAATAAAATCAAATGAAAGTAATTGTTTTTGAAGGCCCAGTGCTTTAGATCTTGTTCCCTTGTCAAAATGTCCATTATCGGAACATATTTCATCAAGACTTTTAATAATAGCTTCTAATGAGCCCCATACAGCTTTGATACTTTCTGCTCTTGCTGTCCACCGTGTTTTTGATAAATTTTTTAGCTGCAACGCATTTTCGATTTCAGATAATTTTATATTCAGTAAACCATACCTCTTATTACTTGCAGAAAAAAATACATAGAGATTTTCTAAAGTATCAATCATATTTGCAATAATAGTGCTTGCATCACAACTATGCTCTAAAAATGTATTAAGCCTGTGAGCCTGACAAGGTATGAATGGAATTCGATGACCAGTTAGTTCTGACAATTTCATATGGGTTCCATTATATCTTCCAGACATATTGCTGGCGAAGTCATATGATTGAAAAGTTATTAACCCTGGATTCAACGTGTTATTTTCTAATATATTTATAATTTGTTTAGCTGTACCTAAACCAGTCTTATCTGTTCCTTTTGATATCTCTAAAAGTCGCTCAACAGCCTGCCCTTGACTATTCACATAACGTGTACATACTGCTAGACGATCTTCATGTGATATATCAGGTGTTGTGTCAGCCGATACAGAATAAATAATTGCTTCTTTTACTTCATTTACAATTATTTTACGTGTTTCGTTAGCCAATAATTCAATGAATTCATTTTGTGATCTTGGTCCTAAGTAATGAACTTTATATGCCCGTGTAGAAGTCTCCTTAATCCAACGATCCATTAATGGGTTATGCCTAGACAATAATTGAACTAATTGCATAAAATTTCCACCACTTTCATCACCATCACCTCGAAACGCTAACCCTTGCAGAGATAATGTTCGAGCAATATCAAATAACATAATAACAATATTCTTGTTAAAATCTTTTTCTTGCTCTAATTGTATTGCTTTTTTTCTATTTTCTCTGTTTAAAATGATATCAATGTGATTTGAATTAGTCATGAATAGATAGTAGTCGTTTAACGCTGCTTTATGTGAAKTAGAAGAAAAATGTTGCTCAAGTTTTCCCAGCTTTTTAGCACCACACTCTTCATTTTGTGCCACTGATTAACACCAGTTTTTACCCATGCTGAATCAGAATACAATTTACCAGCCCCTCGTGGAAATAACGAACAAACAAAACAGAATACAGCATCCTTCAAAATACTATATTCAATCAATGGATACTCATTAAACCATTTAGAACTAAAACTGTGCTGTTTACATTGGTTAATATTAGGATTTACTGGATATCTAGTTAGCTTAGGCTGATGTGGACCTAGAGCTATAAGGTATTGACGTTGCGAACTTGAAATTATTGGTCCACGACCACCTGGATCATGATTTATAAACTCATCAATAATATTGTTTGACAATGAAGTTGCAGTACCTTCTGAAAATTTTTCCAATACAATATTTGAATTTTTTAAAAATTCTTTAGATTTAGATTTTATTCTGTTGATAATCTGGACACTTTCTAATATAAATATAATTGGATTTGGTAATGTTTCAGTTTTTAGTTTGGATAAAACTGTACCAATTTCCGTTAAATCTTCAAAAATATTTGCTAACTGAGCAGCACATAGCAACCAATTTACATCCATTTTATCATGGTCAACCACATTTGTAGAATCTGTTATGGGGACTATTTGAGTTGAACTTGACTAAATTAAAAAAAATTAATATTATGGTACATCCAGTAAAATATAATAGTTAATTTGTAAATTGTATTTAGAACTGTACATTTAATGTCAWATGAAAAAGTATATTTCTAAWATTTTTTGCCATGTATAATGTCCCAATAATAATATATTCATAGCATTATAATTTCTTACCTCGTCTAATACAGATTCTGTTTCTTCAGATTTAGCTTCAGTCTGACTAGGATTATGCATGGTCTGAGTTGAACTTGACTAAATTAAAAATAATAAATATTATAGTAGGTACTTATAGTGAAATTGGAATAATTAATTTTTAAATATTTGGGCTGTATATTTAATGTCATATTAAATTACAAATTATGTACAACTGAAAATTGTTATATTAAGTACAGACTTATAAAAACAATGATAAAATAGTACCTATATCCACTCTCCAATAATTTAATATTATTATAATGGAATTAAAAATTGGATTCAATTACGCTATATAACAAATATAAAAACTTACCGGAATCATATTATGTAGTTTAATCTGTTTCGATAAATGTCGTGAAGTTTCGGTCGCACTTTCGAACGGGTTTTTAGGAGCGCCGACATGTTTCACATTTACCCGTTTACCATTATGTAACTTCTCTTCGTGCTTTTTTTTAAAATCGTCGTTAAATCTGCTGMCACATTCTAAGCACTCAACTTTAATACGTTTTCTTTTGCGATTAATATTTTTGGCACTCATTATAATTATAATATGACTTACGTTTACGTAGTTACGTATAAATATAAAGTTATGGAAAATTCAAAATCTATGTGCAGCGAACTGTTTAGTCTATGGTACACAATGTAGTGCGTAGTCATTAAACAATAACATTAGTTATTATGTGCCGATACGGGCGATACAGGCTACAGACGGCCAATTTGACGATTTGTACTTTGTACACCAGATCTATTTATAACATGTTATCGAGCAGTAAGCACTTTCGCGGAACGACAGTATTTCATTGTCATTTTATTATTATTTTTATTTTTACTTATCAGTAAGTTATAATATTAATATTACCCATAGTTATTGTATGATATTCTTATATCTACAATATTATAAATAAAGTAGATATTTTTTTTTCATAGGAAAATACTTAAACTATGAATTTTATTGT